CCTGGGGCCTGCAGGCTGGGGGCAGCTCCTGTGTTGAGCGTCTGCCTCCTGGTGGTCAGTGCGCGTCATAGCGACTGGTTGTTCCACCAGCTGATTTGCATATTAGGCTTTTATTAAATAGGATGATTCTTGTCTGAACTTTTTTCAGGTTGCAGTGATGGTGAATTTTGAATGATTGCTTAAATTACCAGTTCTTAAAAATTTGTACTTAGGCATGGACATTAACGATCTTCTCAGCTTGCTTATGTTAAGAGTTTCTCTTCTTTTTAAGAAACACCATTGCATGCCCTAAAGATCTATATTTATTTTCTTGTTTGTTTGTTAATCCTCACCTGAGGATATTTTTTCCATTGATTTTCTTAGAGAGAGTGGAAGGGAGAGAGGGAGGCAGAATGAGAGAGTAAAACATCAATCTGAGAGAGACACATCTATTGGTTGCCTCCCATACTCTTGGGATGGAACCTGCAACCCAGATACATGCCCCTGACCCGGAATCGAACCCGAGACCCTTCTTGCACAGGCCAATGCTCTAACCTCTGAGCCACGCCAGCCAGGGCTGTATTTCTTTATGCCTTTGGTGATTCTGTTTTTAAAAATACTAACTAGCCCTAGCCGGCTTGGCTCAGTGAATAGAGCGTCGGCCTGTGGACTGAAGGGTTGCAGATTTAATTCCGGTCAGGGGCACATGCCTGGGTTGCAGGCTCAGTGCCCAGTGGGGGTGTGCAGGAGGCAGCCGATCAATGATTCTCATCATTGATGTTTCTATCTCTCCCTCTCCCTTCCTCTCTGTAAAAAATCAATAAAATATATTTTTTTTTTAAAAAAAAAATATATTTTATTGATTTTTTACAGAGAGGAAGGGAGAGGGATAGAGAGTCAGAAACATCTATCAGCTGCCTCCTGCACACCCCCTACTGGGGATGTGCCTGCAACCAAGGTACATGCCCTTGACCAGAATCGAACCTGGGACCCTTCAGTCCGCAGGCTGACGCTCTTTCTACTGAGCAAAACCGGTTAGGGCTCATCATTGATGTTTCTATCTCTCCCTCTCCCTTCCTCTCTGAAATCAATAAAAATATATTAAAAAAAATACTAACTTAAAAGAGATTTGAAAATTGGAGAAAGGTTTATCTCAGTAGGGCTTGACTAGGGGCTTAATAATTTTCTACATTATGGCAACATAACCCAACTGAAATTTGTTCCCTACTCAATCAACAGCATAAATGCTTCTCTAAGCCAGGCTGAGAACAGCCACATGAAGCTGATTCCTTTTTCTCTCTCTCTTTTCCCCCTCTCTCCTTTAAATAAGTGGGACGGTAATATGAATTCATCATCATATTTCAGCTTTTATTCTCAAATCTATTTTAAAAGCCAGATTGGGCTCATGAAGAACTTCTACTTGCCCTAGCTGGTTTGGCTCAGTGGGTAGAGTGTCAGCCTGTGCACCGAGGGTCCTGGGTTTGATTCTGGTCAAGGGCACATGCCTAGGTTGTGGGCTTGATCCCCAATAGAGGTTATGCAGGAGGCAGTCAATCAATGATTCTCTCTCATCATTGATGTTTCTATTTCCCTCTCCCTCCCTCTCTGATATCAATAAAGAATATATATATATATGAACTTCTACTTTAGCTTTTAAAAATCTGTCTAGGACAGTGGTTCTCAACCTTCCTAATGCCGCAACCCTTTAATACAGTTCCTCATGTTGTGGTGACCCCCAATTTCATTGTTACAAATTGAACATAATTAAAGCATAGTGATTAATCACAAAAACAATATGTAATTATATATGTGTTTTCCGATGGTCTTGGGCGACCCCTGTGAAAGGGTCGTTGGACCCCCAAAGGGGTCGCGACCCACAGGTTGAGAACCGCTGGTCTAGGAGCTTTAAGAGAAAAATAGTTAAATAAGCATTTCCCCATTCTTATTTACTATCACTCTTTTCTCTCCTCTTTTCTTTGCATTTTTCCTTTCTGCCTCTATTTTCCTTTCATTCCTTTGAAGGATCTGATCAATATGCATTTATGTGCCTCCTTAAGAAGAGGTGACAGTTTATTTTGTTCTTTAGATCTCACATATAAGTGAGATCATATGGTATTTGTCTTTTCTCTGACTGGCTTATTTCACTTAGCACAGTAATCTCCAGTTCCATCCATGCTATTGCAAAAGGTAAGGTTTCCTTATTTTTTTTACAGCCACATAGTAGTATTTCATTGTGTAACAAAATAGAAACAGAGTCATGGATACATGGAACAGACTGACAGCTGTTAGAAAGAGGGGGCAGGGGGGACTGAATGAAAGAAAGTGAAGGGATTAGCCAAAGAACATATATGCATAGCCCATAGACACAGATAACAGTGTGGTGATGGCCAGAAGGAAGCGGGGGCGGGGCTGGGTGGAGGTGGGCAAAGGCAGGAAAATGGGGACAGCTATAACAGCAAGAAAGGAAGGAAGGAAGGGAGGGAGGGAGAGAGGAAAGAAAAGAAAGAAAGGAAAGAAAGGGAGGAAAGAAAGAAAGGAAGAAAGAAAAAGAGAGAGAGAGAGAGAGAGAAAGGAAGGAAGAAAGAAAGAAAAGGCGAGAGAAAGAGGTATTGCTCTTGAGTCTCAGGTTCTTTGCTGTTACTATTGTGGAGAATAGGCTAATGATATGATATTACTAATGAAGGCTTGTCAGCTATCATTATGTTTTGTTGAGGGAACCTTGCCCATGATAAGGTTTTCTAAAAGAGAGATAAACAGGGAAAGGAGAAAAGAAAAGCAACTGAGAGGCAGGAAGAATGTAGAAATGAACAGAAAGGAGAAGAAGAAAAGGACTTGGGACTTGGGGTACAGAAATGGGTAGGAAGGACCAAGAATACAGAGCTGCTAAAATAGGAAAATGGAAGTCAGCTCTAACATTTACCTTTACCCAGTCCAGTGTTTGGGCTTTCCCCTTTCAGTAGAGTGTACTGTGAGATAATGTGAGTTGGGGGTGAATGAATTGGTCCTGTTCTTGACTCCTTGGATCCATGCACCCAGAACTGAAGAATTTACCCTGTAATAAGGTGACTTGATAGCCTCATCCTTGTCGGTTGGGTGGAAGAGGCTATTAAGTGATTTTTTTTTAGATGACTATTAATAGTTATTTTTAACCTCCCATCTCAATCCCTTCATTGTTTATGCTCCTCCATTGGCTACCATGAGAGCAGTCAAAATTAGCAACTATATAAAATGAGGTACCTCTTATCTCCCCAGTCACTTCCAAAATAAACAGGGAGTAATACTGTCCATATTTTGTCTCACTTTACTCTGAAGGCTACTGATAGAGGAAGCATGGATTAGTGTGTAGTGATTTCTAGGCTCTGTCCTCTGGACAAATTCCCGTCTGAATGCTGTGGCTGAGTGACAGGACCATGTGGCAGGAGTGCAGCTGGAAGTATATCATTGGCAGATTTGGGTTGGGTAAATATAGCAGGAGCAGGATGTCAGTGTGGGAGATGGATTGTTCTGGGAAAGGAAGTGTTGTCTTTCGTCTGAGAAACAATTTCCTGCACTTCTGGGGCTCTTGCTTTCTCCTTCTTCTTCTCCTTCTTCTTTGTTTTCAAGTCAGAATAGGAGTTGGCAAGGCTTGGGTATATTTGCCCTATTCTATCTCTGGGTACCTGAGACATTTGAAGTTGGGAGTAGGTCTATTCCCAAATCTAGTTAAGAAATGGACCCAATAAAATAGCCATAACTATGCCTTACAGTTCACTTTTTACATTCTTAAATTAAAGCACATACCTGCATAGAGCCTCTTTTAAAAAATTAATCATTCTTTTAGTAATACAGACAGGTTGAGAGACAAAAATAATTATACAAAGAAAATCAACTCTATTGAAAGTCAGACATGAGACACCAGCTGGCAGGAAACAGCTGGGATGCTTCTGGGGGCTAGACTCTTCCACACCAGAACTTAACTCTTCAAGTTATCTCTGTTATCTAAGCTACTTAAAATGGCTGTCTACTTACCAACAATCTACATAAAAAACTAAATATACTAAATTATGCGCTATTTTACAATTGACAAGGACTTTACAATTTAGAAAGTGCTTTTGCATTTTTTTTTACTTTTTAAAATAGCCTTTTTATTTTAGAATATGTTTAGATTGATAGAGAAGTTGTAAAGAAGTTTCCATGTTCCCCATACCAAGTTTTCCCTATTATTAACATTTTATATTAGTATGGTACATTTGTCACAATTAATGAACCAATATTGATGTGTTGTATTAACTAAAGTTCTTACTTTATTAAAATTTTCTTGGTTTTCACATAATGGCCTTTTCCTGTTTAGGATTACATTTAGGATACTACATTATATTTAGTTGTTATGTCTACTTAGGCTTCTCTTGGCTGTGGCAGTTTACATATATATTTTTCATTTAAATTTCATAACAACCTATAAAATAGAATGGACCTCTGTTGGTATCCTCCTTTTATAGATAAAACTAAGGCTCTAGAAAGGTTAAGTGACATGTTCAAGGTTACATAGTTAGTAAAAGCTTCTCTATTAAAATGTGATTATAATATATGAAAAAGGCAGTGAGGTAACTATTCATTTGCTTTTTATGTGGACGAGGGCAGAACTGTAGCTAACTTTCTAGTGGAACATTTGTAGGAGAGGAACAAGAGACAGAGGCGAATATAGCTTACTTTTTTCTGGACAATTCTATCTTACCTGAATACAAATTAATATTATTATTTTAATCATAATTCCATGGGGAATACCCTTTTCCTTTGTAATTCTGCTTTGTCTACCAAAGAAGCTAGTCCCAGAGAATCCTGGGCTGCCCATCTAGTTACCTTGTTTTCTAGCAGCATACTTCAGGCTACTTCACGGGTCGCTGTTGTTAGACACCCAAGTTCAGTGGAAAGGCCCACTGAAAGCATGACATAAACACTAACATAACCAGGCTATTTTTGACATGTGTGAAGGTAACTATCTGGGACAAAAGCACATGAGTTTTTGTGTTGTTGTTTTTTTCTAGAGAACCCACAATTCAGTTTTATTCAGAGCAAAGAAAAGATATTTTGATCATACTGGAAGAAACTCAGCCATAGGTTTGGAATCTGTACCCAAACTACACATGCAATGAAGACAATATTCTGCTAATACAATTGATGTGCTGCTGCATTTGTCTACTGTTTGCCTAATATTAACAATTATAAACAGAGCAGTGCAACTAGTATTTGGAACAATCCTTACAGTGTTTACAGTGTCAGGCACAACTTTTCACTTTTGTTCACACCACTGGTTCTCTTTGCGTACCTGGGCTTCCTCTTCTTCAGTAAAGTCATTTTTTATATTGAAGGTCTTGCGAATCTCTTCAGGGGTTTTCCCCTTGATCATATTGGCAACAGTCAGAATTAGTTCAAATAGTGTTCCTTGGTCAACTTTGAGGAATTCTTGGTCCCAAACAGGAATATCATCTGTTCGCTTTTCTTTGTTCTCATCATCCTCAGGAGGAGGAGGGTCATCCCTGTGGTGGGTGCACCACTGAATGAGCTTTTGTAATATTGCTGCATTAACATTTGGTAGAGGAACTGGGTCATCATCGCCTTCATCATCCATTCCCAAATCTTCTAACATGGTCTTGATAGTCACAGATTGTTTGGCAATTTCAACATCAACTTCAAATATCTCTCCATCAGAACTCTGCAATTTAATTGAAGGCATGATGCTCGGTCTCAAGGAGAGAGCGGGCCGGAGGCTGATGAGAGCCGGGCAGCGTCAGCAGAACAAAAAGGAAAAAGGTGGAGAACAAGGCCACTTACCCACATGAGTTTTTTAATTCTGATGTTTAGTTGGGGAGGCTGAAGTTCTGAAGAGGGGTTAATAGATTCACAGAACTGTAGCACTGAGAGATAGTGGAAAAATTAAAAATCTAACAAGACATGGCAATTACTGGCTCTGAGTGCTCTACCCAGAGGGATGAGTGAGGGGGAAGGGTGAGAGTAGGTAAAGTGTAGTATGTTACCCATGATCTTAGATTCTATTAAAGGGTCATCTCAGGGTGATGGAAACCATGAGGGTACAAGCCATCAGATCTTTTTTTTTTTTGTTAATCCTCACCTGAGGATATTTTTCCATTGATTTTTAGGGAGAGTAGAAGGGAGAGGGAAAGATAGAGAGAAACATTGATGTGTTTCACATCAATTGGTTGCCTCTTTCACGACCCCCACCCCACCCTGCCCTCGGGCCTGGGCTGGAGAGGAGCCTGCAACCAAGATACGTGCCATTGATTGGAATTGAAGCAGAACTCTTTGGTCTGCAGGTGGACACTCTATCCACTGAGCCAAACCGGCTAGGGCCAAACCGTCAGATCTTAAGGGAGCGAATAGCTCCTCTTGCCTATAGATGTAGTCATAGGATTATACTTGTATCCTAAAGGGCAACTTTTAAGGTGCTCCAACTTAAGCTGATAGGGTCATTAGTTTATTGATATCGTTAGCAACCACTTTTATTGAGCAGTGTTTTTAAACTAATGGGCATGGGATACTTTTCAGTTTATGCCTTTATGATATACTAGAGCAGTGGTTCTCAACCTTCCTAATGCCTTGACCCTTTAATACAGTTCCTCATGTTGTGGTGACCCCCAATTTCATTGTTACAAATTGAACATAATTAAAGCATAGTGATTAATCACAAAAACAATATGTAATTATATATGTGTTTTCCGATGGTCTTAGGCGACCCCTGTGAAAGGGTCGTTTGACCCCCAAAGGGGTCGCGACCCACAGGTTGAGAACCGCTGTACTAGAGGCCTGGTGCATGAAATTTGTGTGTGGGTACGGTCCTGGCCTGTGATCAGGGCCATCTTCCCCAGCTACCCACAGCTGGCCCTGCCCCCTGCTGCCACCCACCCCCAGTTCCCCGTTCACCATCGCGTAATTGGTGCCTGATGGCTAGGGGAAGGGACCAAGAGGTGGTCAGTGCACCCCATAGTGACTGGTCCAGCGGTCGTTCTGGTTGTTCTGCCGTTAGGGTCAATTTGCATATTACCCTTTTATTATATAGGATATCTGTGAGCATAGAAGCTGATTTGGGAACTGTTGGTAGTGAGTGACTGTTGCCCTTTTTTTGTTGACTCTGAGGCTGGAAAAAACCTGATGTTTTTCTCCAAAAGGAAGCTATGAAAATAGCAATAAATGAAACAATGAAGAAGAGCTTTAGAAAGTTCACATTATGTTGTGTATCTTCATGGCATCATGTAGTGGGTTGAGGACAGGGTAGATATTTTAAACCACCAATTATAGGAGTCTTTAAACATCACAGGATGGATTTCATACTCTGAAAATGCTTTGCTTCCATCATTTGAAAGAAAAAATGTGAAAGACAATATAAAGAATGACTGTTTGAAGTGTTTCTACCAGAAAATCCTATCCATTGGTGAGATCGAAACTGTCCTTTGGTAGGGAAAAGACTGAGAGGATCTCTTGTTCAGAATGCAAGAGAAGAGATGATGAAGTACCTGTGTCTCCAGAGAACTCTGCATTGAGCTCTAATGAAGGAGGGGGAAATTCCTTACTGTGGTCTTGCGTAATGTAAAAATCTTCATATGAGTCTCAGCAGATGTAGAGTCTCCAAGGGGGAGATTGTGGCTAGTTCAAGCAGCTTGGGTTCAGTAAGCCGCCAGTGGGAGTACAAGACAGAGATGGCTCACTGACATTTCTACTTCAGGACAACCAGTTTTGTTAAGTGGAAAGCTACCAGATCTACTTCACTTTTGCAAGAATCCTGAATGATCCCTTTACACTATGGACTGAGGTGACTACTTGTCTCTATAAAAGTTACAGAGGAGACCCCACAGGCTTTAATTGGAACTTACTTATGGTTTCCCAGAAACAAAGCTCATATCCTATTAAAGCACTTTAGAAAAATAAAGTAGAACTAGAGATAAGAAAATCTGTACTTTCATTTTCAAGAACTGTTTTTAAAAATTGGGGTGAAATTCATATAACAGAATTAATCATTTTAAAGTGAACAATTTAGTGGCAATTATTTCATTCATAATGTTGTACAACCACCACCTCTATGTAGTTCATTTTCTTCACCTCCAAAAGGAAAGCCTATATCCATTAAGTAGTTGCTTCCCCTTCTCCCTTCCCTGCAAACCCTGACAATCACCAATCTGCATTCTGTCTCGATGGATTTACCTGTTCTGGATATTTAATATAAATATAATAATATGTGATCTTTTGTATCTAGCTTCTTTGACTTAACATAGTGTTTTCAAGGTTCATCCACATTATAGCATGAATCTGTACTTTATTCCTTTTTATGGCTGAATAATATTCTATTGTGTTTATATACCAGTTTGTTTTTCCATTCATCCACTGATGGGCATTTGGACTGTTTTACTTTTTGGCTATTGTTAATGGGGCTGCTAGGAATATGTGTGTATGTGTATTTGAGTACTTATTTTCAAATTTTTTGAATTATATGCCTAGGAGTGGAATTCCTAGATCATATTGTTACTTACTCTATCTTTAACTTTTTGAGGAACTGCCACAAAGGTTTTCCACAATGGCTGAACCATTTTACAGTCCTAACAGCAATGTGTGAGGTTTCCAGTTTCCCCACATTCTCACCAACAATTGTGATTTAACAGTTTTTAAAATTATAGCTTCAAAATCTTTTGAGACTAGATAGAACTATGATGATAAAACCTTTTCCAGTCCTTATGGATCTCCTACCATGCTTCTCTTGAAGTAGCTACATGGCTCTTCTAGGCCAAATAAGGCATTGTGGTTCTAGCTTTGTGCTGAAGAATGACTTTCTTGAAAAATCTGAAGCAAACATAGTCATCACAACTGATATGGATTGCCTATATAGGGCAGAAATCTGATTTGCCAAAAAAAGAGTGTCGGTTACATTTTGGGTCTTGAGAGTAAATGGTGGTATTTCAGGTTTCATCTGCCATTGGAATCCTGGACCAGGCAGTGGTCTGGGTCTTGCTGACTATACAGGAGGCTCAGTTTGCTTGCAGATTACCAGTTTACTTTCCTACTTGCTGAATAACTTTCTGAAAAGGGAGTTAACTCTAATTTCTGAGTAACTGGTTCTTTTAAAGATGTTATATAAACTAAAACTAGTTTTAGTTGTTATTCCATTACTACTTATATGAGATTACATACAGACACTAAAACTCTAGTGTTCCCCCCCCCCCCTTTTTTTTTTGGCTATCTGGCAGGATAGTTTCTTATTTTGATGTCTCTGCATCAAATTATTGAGTTCCTAAATGTCTTTTTCTTACCTTCTCTTTTTTAGGCCATCAATTTCTACTTCTTGTGTCTATATATTGTGATTTATCTAATAGTAGTCACTATTTTTTTTTTAAAATATATTTTATTGATTTTTTACAGAGAGGAAGGGAGAGAGATAGAGAGTTAGAAACATCGATCAGCTGCCTCCTGCACACCCCCCACTGGGGATGGGCCTGCAACCCAGGTACATGCCCTTGACCGGAATCGAACCCGGGACCTTTCAGTCCGCAGGCTGACGCTCTATCCACTGAGCCAAACCGGTTTCGGCCTAATAGTAGTCACTATTGTTAATATTTTAGTATGCCTTATCTACATTTATTTTTCTTTGTGACAATTACTTTATTCTTGTGGAAGGAGAAAATTGATGCTGGGATATGAGATACTTAAATTTCTAGTTCTTTCTGTTGTCTCTACTAATCTAGTTTTTCTTTTTTTCTCAACACTGCTTTCTCTAGTTTATGTGTTGGGTGGTCGATTTTTCTGACTTATAGTAAAATTTTTTTTGTTACTGTACTGTTTGCTGTGTTATTTCTTTATAATATTTTATGTCAATAAGTTTCAGTGTTTATTGCTTCCATTGGTTTCTTTTTTTAAAAAAAAATGAGTTTGGATCACTTTTCAAAGTAAACAAAAAATTGTAGTCTTTACTGTATCTTCCCCTCACCCCCAACACACACTAGGTTTATAAATGCATCCTAACCATTTGATCAAAGTCAGGCTTTGAATAAGGCTTTATAATAGTCAGGTGTGGTTGAATGACATGGATGTCTGGATTTGGTCTTGAGAGATTTGGGGATGTACAAGTGTGAGGGTTTTTTTTTTTTTTCTTTCTCTCTCTCTTTCCTCCAATAATGTACTGTGGTTGAGTTGTAACATTTATTAAACCACTCCTCACATTGCCTGTTTTCAAAGCTTATCAGGATGACTTTGATTTAGTTATTTGGAACCAAAAAGGCAGTTGTAGAGCCTGGTCTGGAGTTGTGGAGCAGTAATATATCAAAGATCAGACTTAGGTCCCAGTGGGATTATTCTTCAAGATTTATTTCCCTGGATGTACACACAGGAGCCAAATAGTATGTATGGAAAGCTTTGCTGGAATGTAAATTGGACACATTTTGTTGGAACCTGCAGGGGATTTTCGCTGTTTCATAATTTTTCAAAGGTTTGTTATACATCAGACAGTCACTGCCTCTTCTTTAAATCTTTAAATCCCCCTTCTTTTTCCTGTTGTAAAGGTCAGATTTTTTTTGACAACTGTGTGCAGGAACAAGATTTGCTAAATCCCTTCATTTTTATTCATACAAATATCAGCATTCAGTGAGCATCAGTTATCCCAGCACTTAGAGGTAAGGAAAACTCAGGGAAAATCTTGTGAATCTCAGCTTAGTGCCAGGCATATATCTCTGGGAATAAGTTTGCTGCCTCAACTTTAACCCTTGACTGCTCTGATATGGGACAACATCCTCACAGTGGCTAGCATGTGAAGCCCACTTGTACTAACCTC